TTAAATCCCAACTAATAATAAAAAAAGAGAGAGGAGTCAGTCAATCAAGCAAGAGCAATTTCCCGAGGCTTTGAGATAAGGCCGCCATGATCACAAAGATTGCTCCAAACACCTTGTCTCGGTTTCCTTTCCTGGCGAGTCTGAAGGGCTTCAACCCTGGCACCGCACGCTCATTCCTGTGGGCGATTCCCGGCATCGTTCCCTGTCCAGATCCATGCCTGTTAGCAGACTCTGCTTCAGGACAGGTTGGCAAACCTTTTCTGTTCGAAGCCAGATGGTCACTATTTCAGGCTTTGGGGCCACATGATCTCTGTTGCAACAATTCAGCTCTGCCAAGGAAGGGCAAAAGTAGCCACCGATCATCGTGAGTGAATATGATTGTGTTCTAATAAAACTTCATTTTCAAAGACAGGTGGCAGGCCACACTTGGCCCTTGGACTGCAATTTGCTGATTGCTGCCTTAGAGCTACTCCCACCCAGCCAACTGGTTTCTCAATTCCCAACCATGGGCACACCATCCTTTTCACTCCTTTTGTGTATTGGCAAAGGACGCCCTGTTGGCATCATGGATTATGTGTTGGGCTGTTCCCCACAAGGTCAGAAGTTTGAATCCCAGTGTTCTGCCGGAGACAGATGAGGCTTTCTACTCTATTAAGGATTTATAGCCTTGGAAAAACCACAGGGGGCAGTTCTACCCTGTTCTATCAAGTCGCTGTATGTCAAAACCCATGTGATGGCAGTGAGTTTGTTTTTTTTAGTGAGTATGTATGCGGGACTTCCCTAAGCCCCAACCAGTACTCACATTGAGGAGCCTTCAGGATCTCTGCAGCGAATAGATGACTAGTCTGTGCTTTGGAGACAAATTGAGCTCCAGGCTGAAATTTGTGAGGACTTGGGCGGAAAGAAACATCTAGAAGAGTATTCACCTCAGGTCTCTTTTTAGGGAACTCTTGGAAAGCTGTATGGATGGGGAGTTTCTAATTCCCCAGCAACCCCACCTTGTGTTCTCGCCATCCTACCCCTCTGAGTAATGGGCAGAGCTACCTGGAGCGGTGATGAGTCTGCTTCCTTTGAAGCCGTCTGACGACACTCTGATTTCACCAACCACTAGCATCCAGGAGGAGCCTGACGTGACACAAGCTAAATGGAATACTTTTATGGGATGAGGAGGGACTCTTTAGAGGCAGCTAACTAGCATATTTTGGAGAAAAATTAGCTGAAGCATTAAGGAAAGAAAACTACACTGCATACCAAGCCCCCACCCACCAATAAGGGTATAAAAGGACCACAGAGGAGTAAAGGCTCATACACCACCCACATCCATTTCCAGCAGTTCACCTGCTCTCCCAGCACCATGCCATACACCTGCTCTCTGCCCAACCTGAGCTGTCGCACCAGCTGCTGCTCCCGGCCCTGCATACCTCCCAGCTGTCACAGCTGCACCCTGCCCGGGGCCTGCAACATCCCCGCCAACGTGGGCAACTGCGGCTGGTTCTGCGAGGGCTCCTTCAATGGCA